CATCTATTATCTTTTATAAAGCGATTTCATGATGTTTTCCTTTTCTCTACATTTTGTGAGAAATTTCTATATTGGCTATGATTGATTTGGTTTTTCTTAGCCTTTGGTATGCTGCTTATATCCTCCCCAGGAGGACTACATTCTGCTAATGCATTTAGAAGAGATATGATCACCCCCACTGACCGCCGTCCTTTCTCCTCTGCCCCTACTCTTCCTAGTCTCCGTTTGCTCTCCAGCGCGGCCTCTCGCATATGTTTCACGGAGTCTGGCATTCTGGACATGTCACCTCCTTGGCATCTTCGGAGCCCCTACGAGTTTGTATTCTACAAGCTTTCAGCAGGGTCCTCTGTCGTCTTCAGAAATGAGCCACTGGCATTTAGGGTCGTTAAACTAGTGCAAGCTATTGGCACCTCCCAGGGGCATTCTCCAAGGAGCGGGGCCCTGAAACAGTGCCATCGTTCACCCACTCGAATAATGTCTCCAGGCAGAAGCCACTGGGCTCCCAGACAGATTCTGAGAAAAGAGGAGAAATAGCATCAGGTCCAGGAAGCTAAGCCCTCACAAGCCCGGACTTGTGTTACCTAAGACTTGTCCCCTGGGCCCTAAGGAGGGGACGCTAGAGACCCAGCTACCTTGGAAGCCTAGAGAAAGAACGCAAAAAAGCGCTGGCCCCTAAGGCGGTCCTGGAGACGCGCTGCAGCGGATAGCTCAGCATGCTGGGCCATCAAGTGGATTCCAGCTCACAGCAACCCTGTTGCCCCTGCGGGTTTCCAAGACTGTGACCCTTTACAGGAGTTTCCTCTTTTTCCCTCAGAGCTGAGGGAGGTTTCAAACGGCTGCCCGGCGCGCGCGTACCCCACAACCCTGCCAGGGCTCCTCCAGGGTCCAGCAATCGGGAAACTCCACCTTCAAAGCCTGCTGACTCTGCCCATGGTGTGTAGCCGCCAGATGGCAGCCTAGGCTACCGGCTGTCAGCGGGAAAACAACCTCCGAAATGGAAGGCCCTGGGACCAGTGATCCTCAAGGGGGCCCATCACTGACCCCTGAACCAGAGTTTAAGACCTGCAGCTGCACAGAGGACTGACTGGTCCCCAGAGTCCTTTGGGACCTTGGCCCCTCTCTGGGCTTCCCTTACCCAGACGCCATGCCTGCCCTGGTATTGGTGGTGCAGAGGGATGTGACCCAGGTCCTGTCCCTGAGAAGCTCCCAGACCTGGGGCTGAGTTAGACAGAGATGAGGAATCAGACAACACGGTGAGGAGGGGGTCCAACCAGGGAGGGGGCTGTGGCTGCCCAGAGGAAGTCCCTAAGCCAGGGATAAATGGGGTGGGACAGGGGCTTTCTGGAAGAAGAGATTTCCAAGTTGACCATAGAGGGATTGCTGGCAAACGTCCGGTGATAAGACACATACTATGGGTTTGGTTTTTTTACCCCCCGCGACAGCCCTGCAGGGAAGGTATCCAGAACCAGGGTCACAAACAAGGTCATGGAGGGTCGGAAAAGCTAGTGGAAAAGCAGGTATGGAGGTGCACAGCTGGATCGCACCGACGTGTGCATGATCCCCAGCTCTTGCCCACTGTGCCAACTGCCAGGGGCTGGGGACTGGGGGATGAGAGCAGAGCTGCACAGAGGGGCATCATGTGCTCCGCGTGCTCGCCGTGGTCACGGAGCCAGTTCTGACAGCTGCAGCCTCCTACTCTCTGTGTGCTTGGTCCCATACGACAAAGCAGAACGCGTGTGACTCGGGCCTACACACACACACACACACACACACACACACACACACACACACACACTTCACCAGCCGCACCCCAAGCTGAGGAGGGAGCCCAGCCTCCTGGCTCCCTAAAGCACAGCGTAAAACTTGTGTCCCTCGAAGGATTATCTGCACCACTTGCTACTCTGCCCTAACCAGGTGAGACTCTGCAGCTTGGCGAGAACTAACAAGACTCTTTGGGAAGCCTGTTCCAGGCTGGAAGTTCCTCTGCTGGTCCAACCTAAGCATTGCTGCAATCTACCTTTCCACTGTGCGACCCTGGACCGAGGCTTTCCCGGATGGAATTTGTGTGTCCGCGGTGACATGAACACGCTTCCGTTGGCGGAGGAGAAAAAAAGGGGCAGGTGTCCCGTTCAGAAAGCAGGGAGAGCAAGGGTGATGTCAGCAGCCAGACCGCCTCCTGGGCCTGGAACCTGGGTCTTGGGGAGCCGGAGCGACAAGCCCAATGAGGTGGGGTGGAAGGACTTTCTCAAGTGGCATCAGGGGCGGGGCGGGGGGGGCGCTGTCAGAGAGGGTGAGGGAGGCGCATGGGGAGAATGAGTTCGAGATAAAAAAGCAGGGATGACGCAGCATGCTCGTGCCGGAGGAAAAATGTCTCCCTTTCAGAGAGGGACAAGAAGACAGAGACGAATGTCAAGGTCAAGAGACAGACCGAGAAACCGGCAGAGAGATCGAGGAGACTGTGCGCACCAGGATGGGTGGGAGAGGCTTTAAATGGGGAGCACAAAGGAAGGGGGCAAACAGCAATTACACAGAACCTCCGGGTGGAGAGCGAGTCCCAGCCCGCCCCGCCCCGTCTGGTCCCCTGCTCCCCCTCAGCCTGCTGGTTGCGGAGTGGAGAGCTCTCTCCCAGTCCCGGCCCGCCCCGCCCACCGCTCCAGCCTGGTCCCGCCCCCCCGCCAGCCGATTAGGGACCCCAGAGGCCACACACACACATACACACCCACACACACAAGCCCTGCCACCGCAACGCGGTGGGGGAGAGCCAGTCTTCGCCCCGCCCTGCCGGGTACCCAAAGGCTCGCCTCCCAGGTCCCCTGAGCACAGCCCCCTCGGGACGGACTGCGCGGCCCCGATAGATGGTAGGGGGCCCAGCTGGAGTGTTATCGGCCTCCTCCAGGAGCGAGCCCGCGCCACTCAGCGGCTGCCGGGCTGAGATTAGGCCCCGGGAGGGTCATTAAGCAGCCGCTCTGGCCGGGGCCCAGCCTCCTTTCCCTCCCGGATCGGTCGGGCTGGCAGGTGGGAACAAGCGATAAGGATTGGGGGGCTCAGGGGGCGGGGCTCTGAGGCCGGCAGCTCCATGTCAGGGCAGGAGCGCCTGGGGTGGGTGTAGGGGGGGAGGCCTGCCCAGTCCCTGCAGGGACCACCCTCCACCCCACCTCCACAGGCTTCCCACCGCCCTGTTCTTGCCCCAGATGGGGGAGCCGGCATGGGGAGAGGGCTGAGAGGGCTCCTAGAGACACCACACACACACACACAGGCTATGGAATGGGCCCCAGGACCCGGAAGGACTGCGGTTGCTAGGGAGCAGGCGCGCTGGGAGCGAAGCAGACCCACCAGTCTAATTGCAGGTGTGGGCCGCTGAACTTCACCTCAGTTCAAGTGGTCAGTGGCTCTGTCATCAGGCAAGACCCTGGGGGGTTGAGGGCGTGGGGGATAGACCAGACTCCACAAACCCCACCCTCTCCCAGCGACAGGAACAGAGGTGGGAGGAAAGACAGATCCGGGAAGCTGGTAAGGAACTAATGAGGGTGCACCTTGGCAGGGACCTAGCCCCCTAGGAACCTGGGACCCTCCAGTGAGAAGGTGCATGGCATGCGTGCCACCTGGCTCTACCCTCTAATCTAAGCAGCGGCTTTTTCCCTAGAGAAAGGGCACTAGCTACACTAAAAGAAGGAACCGCGGGGTGTAAAGGGGCAGAGGTGGGGAGCAGGGAGCAGTCACAGAAAGCCAACTGATCTAAAACTTCCGTGTGAGTAGGAATTACAAGGGCCACAATGTAAGATGAGGCCAGAGAGGGAAGGTGACTGGCTCCAGGTCACACAGGAGGCTAGGGTAGACCTTGGGCAGAGACTTCTGCTTCCCCCACGCTGGGGTCTTCCCTCAACGGCAGCCTGCACTCCAAGCCCCAGGGAGGTGAAATGGGGTGATGATTCTGGTGGGTCTGGCCCAGGGTCACGTGAGTCGGGGCTTGCATCAGCAAAGGAAGGCCGTCGTGGTGGAAGGGTGGGCACTGTGAGTTGGGACAAGTGGCAGAGAGACCTTTGGGGCATCGTGGGCTGTATTCGACCTCCTTGAGCCACTCCTGCACTTGCTCCTAGGTGAGTCTGTCTGGGACTGCTTCTCTAAGAACACAGGCCCGGAGAGCCGGGGGCCCTCAGGGTTCAGCCAGACGATTGTGACTCCTCCCTTCTCCATCCTGCTTCAGTCCCTGGCCCCCACCCTTTCCATGACTGGGAGTCAGGAGACTATCTCAGGACTGGGTTGTACGGCAGCTCTGTGGTGAGACTTGCTGTAGGACCTTAGGAGAGTCACGGCCCTCTCGGAGCTTCAGTTTACCCTCTGTGGAGGATTTGGCTAGTCTCACCACAAAGCTGGGCGGGAGAGCTAGAGCAGTGGGAAAATGATTCTAGAATACACCACAATGGCAGACAGCATGGAGACATGGGGCAGGAGAGGTGGGGGGGACTGCCCAGAATGCCCTGTGTCAGCCTTTGGAGATGGGTGGACTTGTAAGAGGAGCCAGGACTTGACCAGCGTGAGCGTGAAGGGGGTGGACTCCCGGCCCCATGAGGCCTCCTGGAGTGGTCTCAAGGCCTCTAATGCTTTTTGCCTACCTTAAGAGAGAACCTGGGGACACATAGGGGTCTGACCTCTGCCAGAAAGCTCTCCTGACTTCTGGACTGGACCACTGAACTGCTCTGGCCAAAGAGGGGGTTTAACCAGGGAGGACAAAGGCCACTGTATGGTCAGGGATGGACTCACGTGTCCCTGTCCTCCCTGCTTCCCAACTCTCTCACACCCATGACAGCCTCCCACTCATGGGCAACTAGGGTACTCATTTACACCCACCTTGGACTCAGGCCTTTGTGTGTCCCAGCCTGACCCCCTCTAGGCCCCAGCTGCTATGTGATCACGGAGTAATCCTGGAAAGCCGTGGCTTTGGAAGGTAATTTTCAGATTCAGGAAGTAAAGCCCGGCCTCACTGGGAGGCAGAGGGGAGATTTCTTAGCCCTGGGATCCTCCGCCCCAGAAGTATATAAGTCTTTATTTCACAGAAATAAAGGCCATTTCCAGAGTTGTGGGGAGGAAATGGGAGACAGGATGGCAGGACTGACTGTTCTTTACAAAGAGTGCTTCTGAATCTCGTGGGAGTCCCCCTGGGAGACTGCAGGGCCACAATCAAGCCCCAACCTGGACACAATCCGCGCCCCAAGGCAGGCTGCTCTAGTTCAGGGAGGGCAGGGCCGGCGTGGGGGTCAGAGGGCGATGGCCCTGGACGGTAGATTTCTGCACACAGAAGGCGGCGGCGGTGGCCGGTTGATCACTCATGCTCGGGAGCCTCAGGGCAGGGATCACATGGGGGTGCTCCGGACCTTGTCCTCCTCCGGGGAGATGTTCTCATAAGCGTGCTCATGCTCACTGGACCTGAAAGAGGATGGCAGGGGCCTGCTGGGCAGCCTCACTCTTCTCCCCGGTCCCTTCACCCAGCCCCATTCTATACTATTAGGCCAGTATTTTCTGGAATAAATGTTTGACTCCCAGAAGGGAATTCCCTTGTCTGCCCCTAGACTACATGCCACTCAGCACCACCTCCCTGAACCCCATCTTCCTTCGAGACCCCTCTTCCACTGACCATCCTCCCCACTGAGCCTCATCCTCACATAAGGGACCCATCCTCTCACCGAACCCACTTCCAGTGTCCCTTCCTCTAGGGGTCCCATGGACTAAGCCCCTCCCCCACCAAGCACCCATCCCTGACTGAGCCCTCTCCCCAAACTGGTGTTTCATCTGTGACCCTCACCAAGCCCCTTAGGCTCACAGGCCCTTCCCTCACAGAACACCCCTCCCCACCTTTCACTGAGCCTTTCTCCACCCTCTCAGCCCCCTCCCACTCAGCAGCACCTGAAATGAGGTTCCCCTTGGATCCCTGGGTCACGGAGTTGTCTACCCGGCTCTCACCTGAAGCCAGCTGCAATGGAGGAGTATCTTCCATCTGTCCCCGCCAGCATCCCGTCTTCCTTCTTTCCAACCAACATGACAGTGTTCGTGGGCTCCCTGTTCAGGGGGGTTGGCGGGGAGGGCACATCAGTAGGACTCCTGGACCTTTGCCTTCCTCTCCTCCCCCACACTCTGGGCCTACTCCAGGAACTGACTCTCTCTGGCGCGCTTTCTCTCTCTCTCTGTTTCTCTCACAGCCACAGGGGACAGGGATGACCCCTTCATAGAACCAGCTCTCCCACAGCACCCTGTCCACAGCCTGCTTCCGGCCACCTCCCGCTGAGCCTCACGCCTTTCCTCCTGCCCTGCAGTGCTCGTGTAGGGAGGCGTCTCAGATTTGGGGCCCAAGATTTGTGAAAGTCATACCCTAAATCCACAGCCCCACCTGCCCCTCCCAACCTCCCTGTGCATCTTCCTTCCTGACCTCAGCTCAGCCCCCAGGACAGAAGAAGGATGCTCAGTGCCCGCCCTCCTGTCTGCAGGCAATTGGAGCCCAGGGCCAGTGGCCATGAAGGCCACGGGGCCAGGGGAGAAAGGAAGCATTTCCAAGAAAAGGCTCCTTACCTCATGCTCCAGCCTAAGCCCACTGCCCTGTGGCTGCTCCCCATGGCCTCCTCCCCATGAACTGCTCCCACAAAGGTCTCTGCTTTTCCAGTAGCCTCCCCTTCCTTAGCCATTTCACAGCCCCTCCCCCTGATTCTGTCTCTTATTAATATGCCCTTACTAAGCTCAGCCAGAATCAAGCTCACTGCCATCAGGCCGATGCCACCTCATAGCGACCCGTAGGACAAGGTAGAAGTGCCCCAGGGGTTTCTGGGACGGTAACGCTTTATGGGCATAGAAAGCCCCGTCTTTCCCCCACGGAGCAGGCTGATGGCTTCAAACTGCTAGCCTTGCAGTTAGCAGCCCAATTAGAAACCACAGTACCACCAGGCTCCTCATTAAGCTCCGCGATCGAACAGGACGCCTCCTCCTCCTCTTGTGTCTGTGCCTCAGTGAGTACCCCCAGTCAGAACCTGGATGGCCTTGCTCCCTCCTGCCCTCGCGGTCTCCATCCACCAACTCCCAGGCTGTCTGTCCTCCACAGGCCTGAGAGCTGCCCAGCCACCTCTAGAGTCCGGTCTCTCTCCTGGTCCCAGGTGGGACAGCTTCCTCCTGGGCCTTCTCACTTGCAAACTGGCCCCCTTCCACCCACCAACCACGAAGTACCCAGCATGCCTCTGCCAAGTTCCTGCCACTCATCCGGGCAGAGTTTTAAACCTTTATAATGGATTCCTATTGCACTTGGGTCAAGTCCGGTGTCTGGCATCCAGGGCCCTGTTTGACCTGGCCTCTGCTTCATCATCAGCCTCATCTGGGGCCTTGCGAATCCCTCCCTCCTTGTCCCGATCCCCAGCCACACGGAGCTGAGTGGGCTCTGCTAAGTTAACAGGGAATGAGGCCCCTCCAGACAGCTGCAACCTTGTCCCAGGCAGGGGTTCCACCCTGTCTCTACCTGCTCTACTTCGCACATCTGCACCCAGCAGCCCTGGAGCCATGCCCCCTAACACAACACCCCGGAATGCTCTTCCTTCCTGGGACTGAAACACGCTGCCCCCCTCCCTGCTCTGTCCTGGGACTGACTCCCCTCATCCTTAGGGCTGCCTCCTCTGTGCCTCCGGCCAGGTCAGCCCCCCACCACCCTCATCTTCTACACTTGTCCTTGGGCAGCACTAAGTGCCCTGTGGCTGCAGGTCCATGCCCCTCTTCCCTTCCGCTCTGACAGCCTGTGGGCAAGGGGGTGTCCATTCTACTGCTCCACTCTGACCCATGCTGGCAGCACCGTAGCTGACCCTCAGGAAAGGTGGGACTTCCTGAGTCACCCCAATGGTACAGCGGACACACTGAGATCAAGGAAGAAAAGACATTTCTCATAGCTCTCGGGGGAATGGGCACCTCGGAGCCTGCTCTCTGGCCCAGTTCAGGGAGCTAGCGAGCTAGCACCAGTTCACCCCGTGCCCTTGGGCCTCTGTCTGCCTAGCACACAGTGAGAGGACTGCATGTGGGGCTTGATGGGGCCCTGCCCAGTGCAACTAGAGTTGATCCCAAGGCCAGCCCTGCCTGCTTAAGGCCAGCCTGTGCCCAGGGCCCTCGGGGCACACTCACGGCTCCTCCTGACACCAGAAGCGATTGACAGCGAAGGCAATTGCTACCAGGACCAGGAACACGGCCACGGCGATGAGACCCTGCATCCAGGGCTGCAAGTTTCCTATTCCTAAAGAGACAAGGGGGAGGAGGGGGAGCTGCAGCAGGCTGGTGGGGACAGATCAGGAAGGGGCGCCTCATGCCCCAAGGGCTGGGGAGACCATCAGCAGGATGCCAAGTGACATTCAGGGGTGCAGGACAAGAGAGAGCACCATTCTGACACCCCCCTCCCCACTGAACCTAATAACTGCAGGCTCTAGGAGAAGACAGGGCTTCCCAGAGGGATTGGGGGACTCTAGGCAGAAACAGGCCTGAGGGTACTGTCTGAAAACCAGGCAGCCCAAAGCCTCTGCCCTCACCACACTGACTGGGTCACACGCTGGACGCCCTAAGGAGCAGCTAAGCCCCAGGGACCAAAGGCAGCCCTGAACAGCAACCTCAGCCTGCCAGTTCAGGTGGCACCCCTCCTCCTCCCTGCTCCCAGCAGGCTGAGGGGCCCCGCCCAGGGCTGGCACAATTGAGCTGGCATCTGGAAAATCCTGTTCTATAACAAGAGGTCCCTCTGGTGCCAGGGAGGGTGTGGGAGTGAGGTTCAGACAGGCTCAGCTGGGGGGTTCCCAGAGAGAGGTACACCTTTGGAGAAGGTGGGAGCAAGCTCACTCCTGCGTCAGGGTAGGGGGTAGGGAGGGAGGACAAGAAGACAGCTTCAAAAACCCTTTTTGGTTTCCTCAGAGCACGGGTCAGAACACAGGCCTTGTCTTGCCTCTTTGCCTCCTGGCCTTTGCCCCCACCTCAGGTCCTCAAGACTCCCCAGAAGGCTCCTCCTTCCTTCCACTTGCAACCCAAAAGGGCTCTTGTCTCCCCCACCAGGCATCATTGTGCCCTTGAGCCGGGGGCAGCTGGAGAGGAAAGACCTGAAGGAGTGGGGGGTGGGGGGGAATCCACGGAGGGGCCAGAGCCGCAGGAAGTTTTCAGGAGCCCTGCCTCCCCATCAGACCACCTGCATCCCTAGTGCCTAGTGCCCTCCCACACTGTGAAGGACGCAGACTGGGCATCCAAAACCCACTCTGCCTCCATCCTACTCAAAAGTCCTTCCTGGAGTCTAGCCTGAAGCTCTCCTGCTGCACCAAGAGATCCGCCTCTTCTCTGAACCCTCTCTGAGTCTTGCAGGTGTTGGGAAGAGGAAGGAGTCGGGACACTGACTTCTCCCCAGGGGTAACCTAGCACAATCAGTGTGGGTGCACTGAGTTCCCAAGGAAGAGTGAAGGTCCCTCTCAGACTTATGCCTCCTCAGGTCAGTGGGTGCTAAGAAGTTAGAGAGGGTCTCTGGGGCTTCCTCCTGACCCTGCTGTGACAACCTTCAAACACACCAGAGACCACAGTCCCCTGCTCCTTCCTCCAGGGGACATCTAGGTGGGCAGAGCCTGAGGCAAGAGAAAGGTGACCTGGGTCCTGTCCCTTATTGCCCTTCTGTGTGACCAACACAAATCACTCAACCTCTCTGGTCTCCCATACCCCAGAGGGATTCTACGACCTGGAAGCAGACATCCCAGAGAGGTCAGGACACCTGAGCAAGGGAGGGGGTATCCTGGAGGCACCTTTACAACCCACGTCCCACATGCAGAGTCCTCAGACTGGCTGCGGATGACAGTCCAGGGTGGGTACCAGATTTTAAGGTGTGGCGCTCACCCTTCCACACCCCTGACAGGCAGCAGCCCTGGGAGGTGGACAGGGGAGGTTTATTGTCCTCACTGTATAGGTAGGGGAAAATAACTGACTCAGACAGAGAGGGGCAATGATTTGTTCAAGGCCACACAGGAAGATCGAGTAAAACAATGAAAAGCTCAGGTACTTGGCAGGGGCCACACCAGGCCGAGCCCAGGAAGGTGCAACAAGGAAGATTGAGGTCAAAGCATAGACAACCCCCAACACTGCCTCCCCCCCTGGGGCAAGCCCTAACCTTTTGAGGTTGCGGGGGACCATGTTTGAGACCTCACTCCCACCCTCAGAAAAATCCCTGACTCCTGACCTCAGGGCCCAGCCACCTCTGGGGCAATTCCTACTCTTGGGTTTTGGGTCCCAACTCCTTTTCCTCCCCCCAATCCTAGTTCCAGCCCTTTCCCTGCTGCTCCCATTTCTTATTCACTAGGGATCTTTCCGAAACCTGGCTCTGCTCTGGAGTGAAAGTCCACTATGGATCCCTGGGTCCCCAGTGCCCAGCCCGGCCCGGCCCTCTCCTCACCACAGCCACCAGGGCTGGCCCTGTCCTGGGATACCTTGTTGGCAGCTGGCAGGTGGCACTGCCGTGAGCAGGCCCAAAAAGAGCAGTCTGAGAGCCAGCATGGCTGCAGGAAGTTCCTGGGTGCCTTCTGTTCGCCTCTGTGTGTCTGGGCTCCTGGTGCCACTGTGAGTGGCTGTCAGTTGTTCAGGTCTGTGATCTGGCCCTGGAGGAGAGGAGCTAGTAAGAAACTGAGCGAGGTAGGGAGGAGGAGGAAGCAGCAAAAGAAGGAGGGAGGAAAAGTGCCCTCCCTCCCATGGTAATGAGCTACTAGGCAGGGCCTCCTCTGGTCAGTGCCCAGTCCATTTGAGCTGGCATTCAAAGTCATCTTTCAGAGCCTGGCTGAGGAGGTGGGTCTGCAGACCAGGAAGGTGTGGGTAGAGCTGCAGCCTCATCTCCAAGCCCCAGCCCTCCCCAGAGTTTCTGCCTGAGTTCCCTGTTCCTGGAAGTTGGGCTGGGCCCTGGGAAACAAAGTGACACATCAGTCCCTCTGGTTGCGAATGAGCTGAGCGGGCAGGGCCTCTCGGAAGGCTAACTGTGGATAAAGACATGTGTTGTCTGGCTCCAAGAGCATGGGGGAAACCCTCAGAGGCCCGGGAACGTCTCAAAGCTGCCTACTTCCCCCAGGATGGATTTTATTTCTTCTCCTTATACCCTGTCCCTGCTCAGTCAAACCAGACCCCCAGACCCAAGTCTCTATGTCCCCCTGGCCCAACGCAGTAACTCCAGAAATCCACCCTCTCCCACCGAGAGCACTGTTCCTCTGAGCCCTGGGCCAAGCCCCTACCCAGTGCCGCTCTTCCTTCCTCTGAACCTCAGGTGTGGTCCCTGGAAGCAGCCTGTGCTTCCCTCCATACAGGGGGCAGGAAGGCCTCCCTCAGACAAGACCTGGCTTGGTCAGAGGCCTCCATGCCCCTGCTCAGGCTCTCAGTCCTCACTCCATGAATGGAGGGCAGAGACTGGGTGCTGCAGGAGATCCTCAGCCTGAGGTGTAGGGAGGACACTGCCAGGTGACCCTGAGTCTTCACATTGTCAACCCATGGAGTCTTTAGGAAGGCTCACTGCTGCCCAAATGGGAGGCCCTGGAGTCTGGCTCCGCAGGAGAGCCAGAGATCCCCAAGTACTTGTGGAGCCCCAGGAGCCCCCAGCTAAGGAGTCCCGGAAGTCAGACACTCTACCTCCACAGTCTTCAAGAAAAGAGCCAGCAGACGAGGGACAAAGTCTCCCAGATGGAAGGTCCCCAGGAGCCCAAGGACAGATCAGGTCACCCCTCCACAGCTTCCCACCAGGAGGCCACCAACTGCTAGTCACGTGATTTCCTGGCCATCCATTCCAGATGGCGCTGCCAGGGGGAGCAGTCACACGTCACCCCTCCTCTCGGCTTGCTGCCTGCATCTGTGCACACAGGTGTGTCAGGGGTCCCATTCCCATGCAAAGTCAGGGTGTCTCCAGATGAACTTTGCTCAGAGTAGATCCTGCTCTCCCCCATCTTTACCTGGTGTCCCCGGAATCTTCTAGCACAAAGTCTAGCTAGAGTAGGCACAGTGCGCGTTCATGAACAGCCAGGATGCTCAGCCTGGAATGTAAAGAACTGGGTTTAATATCAAAAACACCCACTGATGTCTTCTTCAAGGGTTTTAAGCAAGGGAGTCACCTGGCCAAGTCTCCATTTGAGAAAATGCCCCCGGCGTGGAGGATGGAGGGGGAAGGAGAGGGGGAGGAAAGAAGAGGGGCTGTCCCCCACACCCCCAAATAGCATGGCCTGCACCTGAGAGTCATGGGGAGGGACTTGGGCTGTGTTTGAAAGGTAGAATGGGCAGGACGTGGGTGACTGGACATGGAGGGTGAGCAAGAAGGAGGAGCTGAAGGGGACTCCCAGGTTTCTGCTCAAGCACCTGGGTGGGTGTGGTGGCTCAGAAGGGAATGCAGTGAGTCTGGGGCTGGGGAGGATGGGTGAGTGCAGGCTTCGAGGGGCTGTGTGGTGGTCTCCGTGGGGCCGCCGGAGAAAGATATCCAGAAGGCCGTCAGATCCCTGCATCTGGAGCTCAGCAGATGTACGGAGTGGAGCCCGAGACTGGCGTCCTCTATGGCCTATGGGCAGTGACTAGGGCAGGAGAGTGCCCCGCCTCCCCCAGAAGGATTGCACGGTGGGTGGGATGCAGGGGAAAGGGGAGAGCAGAGAGACCAGGACTCAGCCCCAACAGGTAAAGCCTTCCCAAGGGAGAGGAAGCAAGAACAACTGGGAGATGAGTGGGCTATCCCAGAGGCCCAGGAAGAAGGGACCCAAGAAGAAGCATGTAGGGAAGTCACTGCCGTGACACTCCCCCTCCCCACCACACCCCTGCACACACCATTCAGTCCCCCAGGGGTATCGCAGCCTCACTCATCACTCCTACGCACTGCCTCCCTCACTGACCCCACAGCCATCGAGTGGATGCGGACTCAGAGTGACCCTCCCTTGGGTTTCTGAAGCTGTAAATCTTTACCAGAGCAGATGGCTTCACCTTTCTCTCATGGGGCGGCTAGTAGGTTTGAACCACTGACCTCACAGTTAGCAGCCCCATGCCACCTGGACTTCCTCACTGAAGCCTCCCCATGTCCCCTAGATCAGTGGTTCTCAACCTTCCTAATGCCGCGACCTTTTAATACAGTTCCTCATGTGGTGGTGCCCGCCCCCCAACCATAACATTATTTTCATTGCTACTTCATAGCTGTCGTTTTGCTACTGTTGGGAATCAGGCAACCCCTGTGAAAGGGTCCTTCGATCCCCAAAGGGGTCCTGACCCACAGGTTGAAAACCGCTGCCCTAAAGCCAAAGAACCTGTTGAAGAGCAAGGGCTCCCAGAGCAATGTTTCTGGGTTGGAGGAGGAAGCAGGGAGGAGGGGTGAGCAGGAAGGACATCAGGTGACCAACAGGAGAAAAACACATCTCCAGGGTCAAAGTCCCAAGCTTTAGAGCAAAACAAGTTATTCCGGAAAAGAGCGTGAGGGTGAACACTTGCCTTTGAGGCTGGTCCCCCTGAAAGCCCTGACCCAGCTGAGGAGGTTCATCTCCCAGCTGGACAGACACACCCTGGGACCCCCTGCTGGCCTGGCGTGGGCCCAGGTTCTGGACTCAGGTCTCAGCAGCCCCACAGGGCTGGACACTGTGTCCTCATCGCTGAGCAACGGTCCCATCAGCACTCCAGCCTTCCCTCCTGTTCCCAGCCCCAGCTCTGTCACCCAACACACCAGGCACCCTTGGCCAGGCTCTCCATCCCACTTGACCCCGGGCGATTTCCCCCTCAGAGAACAACACCAGGGCCTGGAGGACTTCCAGGGGTCTCCTTCCCCTCCACCCTGCTCTGCCTGCCATTCACTTGCTGCCAGCAGGTGGCAGTGTCATACTCTCATCCCAGACTGGAGAGGGTGGAGTCCAACTTGCTGCTGAAACTGAAAAACAAAACTCAAATTCACTGCCATTGAGCCAATACTGACTTGTAGTGACTCTATTGCACAGGGTAGAACTGCCTCCTGTGAGTTTCCGAGACTAGCTTTTTTAGAGTAGTAGAAAGCCTCCCCCCAATCTTTCTTCCAGGGAGCCTCTGGGTGGTTTCGAACTGCTGACCTTGCAGACCACAGCCCAATGCACAACCACTAAGAATCTACAATGTCCCCCTCTCTACAGGAGTCAGAATTGCCTTGAAGGCATTGGGGCCTTGGGAGTGCAGACACACACACACACACACACACACACACACACACCTCCAAGCGGTGATATGGAGGGAGAGGAGTTAGACACTGAGGTGTGGAGTCAATAAGAGCAGTACATTGGCATGCCAGGGCTGTGAGGCAAGGAGCACGGCCAATTTGATTGTTGGAGAGGTGTCCCTGAGCGGATAATGGTAGGCAGAGAGCTAGCTGGCCTGCAGGACTGAGCATAAACACAGCTCGGGAAAAGTGTTCCAGGCAGAAAGCTCAGCCTGGAAAAGGGCAGAGAAACACATCCAGGAGAGATCTACAAGCTAGTGATAGCACAGCAATACAAATGGGGAGCTTTCGCTCCTTTTTTCTTCTTCCCACATTTGCTTATGCACCCATTTGTCTTCAGTGACCGTATCGGAAAGGTGAGCACACAATGGTATGACTTTTTGTTCTTTGATGCCTGATAACCGATCCCTTCGGCACCTTGTGATCACACACTCCTTCTTATAACATGTCACCTGGTTGGCATCTTTGTCGAAAGCTCGGGAGCTCTTGGACACCTTCTTGCATCCATTCGAGAGAATGTGATCAAGTGGTGAGCTCCCTCTCCCTAAAGATGTGCAAGCAGAATTGCCAGGACCAGCTCTCCCAACAGAAGAGTCCTTGAAAGAGCCCAGAGGCCTTCCAGCTCTGGAAACACATGATTCTGTGACCCAGGAACAGAATGATTTTCAAGAGGCCAGGGGCTCTGTTATGATGGGTCAGCCACGTCCCCTTCGGACTTGAGGATCTTATCCACCTGGTTTCCCTTCATTTAGGCTGGCCCATAGATAAGACTCAGGGATTCTTCAACTTGGGTGGGGAAATTGTGCATCCATGTCTCACTAAACGTACCATTTTCTTTCACAAAGAACGAAGGCAACGAACCCACGGTGATATTTTCCTATCAGAGGTGTCTGGATATGTTATCACAGGCACCTGAAGATATTATTTTTAAATATCTGGACATATAATTTATGAAGTGATCATACTCATTGGACTAGATCTTGCTGTTTCACGCATGACAAAGTTGCACTCGCGTTATGATGAGGCAACTGATACGCTTAGTATTTTGGTAACTGTATTTTAACATAATTAATTTCTTTGCGATGCTGTGCATTTCATTTGATGCATTTAAATCCTCCTCCTAAGAAGATAGACTTCATCAGACTGCCCAAGGGTCCCATGACATAAGAAGGCTAAAGATGACCTGGCTCAGCGGGAGCCTGGAAGAGCCGGAGCCATGCCATGCAGGCTCTGGAGCTGTGGTCAGATTGGATGGCTGACCCCTCTCCCAGGTGGCCCCAGTGCCTGTGTGGGGAGGCACCAGCCTGCAGCAGCCAAGCCAGAGGATGTGTTGGCTGTGACTCCTGGGTGCTAGGAGACCTCACTGGACTGGTGTGATTTATGGCCGGACCCCCATTGGGGGGAGATAAATTACTCCCTCCTGTTGCCCACTCACCCAGCCGAGAAAACTAAGGG